ACAAARGTTATTGCCTGACCTTTCTTATTCCACTGCAGGATGCAAAGTGACTGGGCAAGCATTTAAGCTCTTTTGTTCTCCTAAATCATAGTTTTGTGGCACCATAGAGAGGAAACTGCAAATCTCCCCTAAGCCCAACATAGCAGCAGATTCTGTAGGTACCATCAGAGATCTGTGACAYGTCCCTCAGATGAGGGGCAAAGGCCACACAGGCACCTCCTGTGAGTGGATAAGTAGGCTGGAATATGACTGGCTATCCAAACCAGCGTTGTATCTCCACAGCATCCTGCAACACACAGGTATCTGTTCATGATCTGCACAATAAAGACTATTAAAAGTTATAGATGTTAATGGCGTATTTTATCTATTACATCGACACTGAGATTTTAAACCTAACAGTGATAGAATTTTGTATACTATTCTTAAAGAATCAGAAGCACAAAATACATTTTCTGAAATTTACTTTTTCTGTGATGAGTTCTTGATAATTTACTGGATTCACTTCACAAGCTTTTATAAACAGCATGAAATAAAAATAWAATGTAAATTAATGATAATTGCATAATTAATGTAATGATAGTCTAAACATAATTTTACCTGTAATATTTCTCTTATGGAGGCAATGCCCAAGTAATGTTCAACAGATGGATGTTGCTGCCTGGGATAATGGCAAAATGGGTTTATTCATTGAAAATAGAAATGTGTTAYTATTTCCAATCCTTTTAATCCCAAGAGCCATCTGTGGCAAGGCATTTTATTTGACATGGAAAAAACCATATGCAAGTGCATGTGCCTGTGTGGAAATATAYAAAAATATATACATTAATACCTGAAGCTACCATCCACCACTCTGTTCAACTGCTGTCAATAAGGAACTGCTTATGCACCATCCTCATGGTGTGACGGGATGGGCTCACAGTCACAGTAATCCTGACTGACTTGAAATCAAAAATAATTTTTTGAGAGAGACAAATCACTTTATTATGAGAAATAACTCCCTGGCTTCTAGAAGGGGATTAGTGTATTACAGCCAGTATCRTCCTTTTCATCTTGGTTGTTTCCATTCTCTTATTTTTTTTACTATTTTATCACTGAAAAACTGCCAGTGAYATGAACATGGAACAGAACCAATCAAATGACTCCTAGGGGCAGGAGAGCAGTTATGCAYAGCAAAACATAGTCTTGAAAAAGATGACCGAGAACTCTCCGAGATCAGGGAGAAAGGACRTGAGAACCATCAAGACTGAGAATTGTACCTCCTGGCTGCAAAAKAACAATGCTGAAAACCCAGAATCTGAGATTATATGCCTTCATGCAATATGGAAGGGACAGTCTTCTGCCAAAAATCCCAGAGAAGAGGTGGAGAGACTAAAAGCTGGTATAGTTAAAGATGAAGAATAAAAAGTATTAGTGTGCAACGAGGATCTCTGACACTGCTAATTTCAGGGCCTGCCCCATCTATTGCTCCTAAGAACTATGAGACYCCTGAACAAAAGCCATGGGGTACTGTGGAAAGGTACATTTACTGACAAAGCAATCTTTTTCTGGATAAAGAAAAAAAGAGGTTGCCACGGCAACAYTGAATGAATTCAGCACATCACCTGYGCATRAAGTCTATCTGCAAGGGCTCTCTKGAAAGCTGAGGGTTTGCTTCTTGCTAGAGATCCCTGAGAATTGTAGCAAGGTTTTAAAAAATAACAATAACACAGGAAATGCATGAAACTTCTTCTGCATCCGCTAGATCAAAGCCTGCTCAAAGGCACAATTATCTATGAAAAAGGAAAGCAGTGTATTTTTCTTGACAAAAATTTTCAAATGGCTGTGAAGATTAGAGTCTGATGCATGCAGGGGACAAGCAAGGCCTGGCAGTTTTCTGYGAGAAGRCAGATATGCCTAWGGTGTTTTCCTTTTTCCTAATGAAACCTTATGTTTGGATTTCCTGACCTACTACACCAGTTTCTTTCTTTATCGAATAGGGGAAAAGCAAAGACTCAAACAYTGGAATCAAATACACTGGAAGAATRAGTGGTTTAGAGATTATGACAAGCATGAGAAACAAATTAAATGCAAAACCAATTAAAAAATATACAAAAACACAAGTTTAAAATCTATCTCAGCTTCTTGTCAAAGTGTAAAAGAGAACACGAGGCCACTGAAAGCAGCACCTCTGTAAAGCTTGTGAAATTCTGGTGTGTCAGAAGGCTCTGTCAGAGCCTGGATTTAAAAAATAAACAAACATTTCAAATAAATGAAAAAGAATAGCACAGTGTTTATTGAATATAAAGCAAGGCCACATGCCAGCAAAGAAAAGCTTTATCATAGCCCTTGCCTGAAGTATCACCTCGAGCAGCTCAGCACAGCTCAGTCCTTCCAATCAAGAAGGTAAAATATTCAACACTCCTTTGCTTATTTCCACATTTATAGAAACATAACCCACCTCTATAGAAAGGTCACAGGCTGAAGGCTAAATAAATACTTGTGCTCGCTTCCTACCACCAGGGGAACCTTTAAAGAGTTTGGCAGATTTGTTTAAATAAAATCAGTTTCCACAGAAATCCATGACGAGAATACAGCACTTGGCTAATGTCTAAATGAAGAGCCTGAAATATGCAGTGACATAAAATATGTAATGTAATAYCAACATTTCTTATGTAATAACATTTTGGGAACTATTTAAGAGGGCAATTCACAAATGCTAATTTCAGTTAAAATGTGCAGATTCTTCCTCAGAAGTAACCATTGGAGACAAGCTTCCCTRTGTCAGCCCTCATAACTATCTCAGTAAAATTCTGAAGTGAGAATTACRCACATTTATTTTTAAATAAGAGCAAATCCTATTTTATGTAAGTTGAAGACACGGTCCTGCTATGAAAAATAAATAAACCATTTAAATAAATAATATTTGTTTTTTCAAATTATTTGTGGAAATAAACTATAAAGAAGGAGATGCATCAGATACTCTTCTCAGTTCTCATGCACCACTGCACCCCAACTTTCAGCCTTGCCAAACCAAATAGATTCAGACAGGGGCTGAATTTGACTGAAAAGGTCAGTTACACTGTAAGCTTGCATTTGACACAAAAATGATCGGTAGAAAAAGCAGGGAATCAAAATCAGCCAAAACCAAAAAGCTTCATTAAAACTCACACAAATATTCATGTGAGGGARCTGATATTGTGTGAGGACAGGGGAATGAAAATAGCAGCAATGCCAGACCGTTCCACTCCTGTTTCCTATTAATTTCCTCTAATCTTTCTCCTTTTCAGGCACTCATTTACACATCTGAGTCTATGCTAGGCTTAGGATTTTGTTCTCCTAATACAGAAGTCAATACACCCCACTACTGTTTACTTGGTCATGAGCAGTGAGAACTGCCTTGTGAGCAAACAGCGTCTTTCAGTCAATAATCAGCCACAGCAGCACAGCCCTGTGGGGAAAGCCTCACCTCAGAGTAATAAGGTTGCTTTACTTGGCACCAAAACAATAAATGTTCCTTCTTACAGAGCTGTATTTTTAACTACGTAGATAAAATTTATCCATATCACAATTYCAAAATACAAACAGGGCTCTCTCTCATAAATAGAGCATTAAAATACACAGCTTAGGGTTAACACACAATCCCTAGTTTGTCTCTAACAGCCACAGCACTGCTGACTCAGCTATATTTTGATACTAATTATCTTTCACACAATGCAGAGGCAAAGGAATTAACATTCTTCAAAACCTGAACAAAATTCTCTTCCCAGCAACCAAATAGTAACACAGTCATAACAAGGATCTACGTGCAAAGCCAAGATTCACACCATGGAGCACATCAAATGCTACAGAATACATTTTAAATAAATGTTTCATGGATTTATTAACTTTAAGAGATTATATTGCCTTACTTTCCCCAGCAAAAGTAGTTTCTTTGATAGGGGAATCAGTAAGAATTAAAGCCWCTGCAGATACAAGAAAAAAGAGTTGCATAAAATTCCGTATGTTTAGAACATGATTTCACAAGTTCCAGAAATGGAAAAATATCAGAAAACAACCTGCCTTATTTGCAATCTGTGAAAAAAATTCTGTCACCCAGTTCTCCAAAGTGTTCAACATTTCTAGTGAATAGAAAAAATAGCAGAAAAACAACTACTTCTGCAAACAATCATAAATCTTGCAATCTTAAAACGGAATTAAATTAGGGATCCAAAGTAGGTTGATTCACTCAAACTATCTGCACTTTTACTGACATGAGAAAAAGCTCCAAATAGAAATATTCAGAGCATGTTTATCTGATTTCTCCCATTTCTCCAAGTCACACAGATACCTGCTCCGCATAGGAGGAGAAAAATCACCTAAATTTTGCTCTTCTTAAAAAAAACAAAAAGCCGAACCCATAACCCATTTCCAACACCACCACACCACCAACCACCCTCCCCCATTCTGTGGCCTCAATAAAAAGTAACCCATCTAATGATGAGCACAAGAGATACCCATTTCTGAATTTTTCTTGCAGAAGGGAATATTTTACAAAARGACATGATGAGGGATCTCATTACAYCAGTCCCAGTGAGGCACCAAACTKYTTTGTGGTTCTTTTTATTCARCTTATAAKCATAAATACCAAGTGGCTGTTCTGCCTCTGAGGGAAGTAAATATATTAATGCCTCTGAGATTAGCTCAGCTGGTTAAGTRTGGGGCTGACAATGGCAAGGTAGTGGGTTCAATCTTTGTAGGAGCCACTTAATGAAAATTTAAAGTTGAAGATTCTGCTGGGTCTCTTCTAACTTGGAAAGATGGAAGGGTCCTCCTATAAGGTGCACATCAAATTCTTGCAGTAATGTTGAATGCTACCATCTGGGCTCATAACAAATGACCACCAAAACTTCATCTTTCACTAGTATGTCTAAATATAACAAGACTATGATCAGTAACAAGTGAATAATAAGTGTTGCGCCACGGGGACCGCCGAGAGCCCCAGACTGTGCCCTGAGGGCGGCGGAGGTGCGGCGTTCCCTCACCTGCACCGTCTCGTGTCCTGTAGGACCGCCTCGGTTGACTTTAGGCCATGTCAGGTTGAATATCGGTGATGTCCCGCCTGCATTCCGGCACTTTCCCGGTCGGGTGTTGGCTCTGCGCCGGTCGGGTCCGGCTGAGGGAGCGGGACCGAGCTCCCCCCTCACGGAGGGGCTGCACCCACCGCCGTCCGCCAGGGGGCGCCAGCGGCCACCGCCGCTCCGTGAGTCCCGCCGCGCGCGCGGGTATTGCGTCAGTGGCGCGCGCCGCCGCGGTGCATGCCGGGCCGGCGGCGGGACCATGGCGAGTGATTTCTACCTGCGGTACTACGTGGGGCACAAGGGGAAGTTCGGACATGAATTCCTCGAGTTTGAGTTTCGGCCCGACGGTGAGAGCGGGGCGGGGGGGCACGGGCGGCTGGGGGGCAGGRTCGCGCACCCGGAGGTGGGGTGCGGTGCCGCGGGTTACTCCGGCGTGGTTTAATGCCCGCTCTCTCCCCGCAGGGAAGCTGCGCTACGCCAACAACAGCAACTACAAGAACGATGTGATGATCCGAAAGGAGGTGAGGGCAGCGCCGCGGGCTGCGAGCCGGGAAAACAGCGCAAAGCGGGGCTGARGGGGTTTGTGCGAGCACAGGGACCGCTGGGCAGCGCTCGGGGCTGGATTTCCGTGCTGGGATGGTGTGGGCAGGGTTGTATTTATTGCCCTGTATTTATTGCCCTGTGGAATGTTTTGTCCAGGCTTAYGTGCACAAGAGCGTGATGGAGGAGCTGAAGAGAATAATCGATGACAGTGAAATCACAAAAGAAGATGATGCTCTGTGGCCTCCTCCTGACAGAGTGGGCCGACAGGTGGGYGTACAGTGTCTCCTCTAATTGCTCCTTAATTTTCATGTGGTAGCTCCTTGGAAGCCTAACTAAAATTTTCCATCAAGGTACTATTGTTTCCAGACAAAATGGAAATAACTATTTCTTTAAAACTTGAGTAGTGCCTCAGTGGCATGGTAGTTGTGGAAGCTACTATGATGCACAGACCTGCTGCATTCAATATCTTTGTTATAGAAATTTGTAATAAAAAATAAAAACCATCATAGTCCTGAAGTACTTCTGTAACTGGTACCATGAAGCAGTAGAGTTGCTATAACCTTTTATTTTTCAGGAGCTTGAGATAGTGATTGGTGACGAACACATCTCCTTTACCACGTCAAAAATCGGTTCCCTCATTGATGTAAATCAGTCCAAGTACGTACTCTGCTTTTTAYGCTGCCCTTGTTTCTATTTATCAGTTTATATTAGAGCTCACTGATTACTGGGTACATGTATTTTATATTGTTTCAAAGTACAGATTAGCTCCTGGGGGCACCAGTGCTCTGTGTTGCAGCACAATGTGTCAAGTGCCTTTAGACTGTGGTGTTACAGGCTCTGTTTTCACATTCAGTGAGAACTGACCTTGCTGTAGGAACCCTGTSACACACAGCTGACCTATCATTGGTCTGTCTGTACCAATATCTTTGGGAGAATCAAGGTATCAGTGTTTCATTTAAGGTGAAAAGACTGACTATCATGGGGTTTTGKTTTKTTTTTTTAAATCCTYACTGCTGTTGGTAGTTGCTTTCGTGATAAAAATGTGTATTTTGTAAAGACTTAAAATATTCACCTTGGGGTACAGAACATTTAATCAATCAGTGTAGCATGAAACTGATCTGTTAAGGTCTAAGATGACAGCTGAGAATTTCCTGTATAGGCTTTGGATGTTTTAATATGTTAGTTTTGTAACCTGTTCTCTAAGAGCATCAGTCTTAAACTGGTTTTCTCCCCCGTTTCTTCTTTCTGTTGTGCACTGCAGAGATCCAGAAGGCTTGAGAGTGTTCTACTACCTGGTCCAGGATCTTAAGTGTCTCGTCTTCAGTCTTATTGGACTCCACTTCAAGATTAAGCCAATTTAAAACAGACAAACTGAAGTTTGTATTGCAATGTCAGCAATGGGGGGTGGGAAGGGAGGATCCTGTTCCAGTTCCTCGCTGTTTCTGAAATTTCTGTGTATTTTAGATTATTTTTTTGGTTGTTGTTTTTGTTGTTACAAACTGTTCATGACTCACTTAATAAAATGGTGAGATTTGCATTTTTAATTTTTAAGTTGTTGTGAGAGACTGACTTCTAAAACATCTTTTATAATGGCACATTCAGAATGTGTCGCTTCACTTGTTATCACACACGTACTTCTCTACAATAGTAGAAAAAGGAATGAAGTCTAGCTCTGTGAAATGAAACTTCTGCCAGGTGTCACAGTAAACTTTTTTTACTGTTCTAAGCTGGATATTCTGTTRGCCAGACAAGCACATTTGACTCTGCACAGGATAACTGGTTATAGCATACACAAGGCCTTCATCCCAGCCTTTTACTCGTGTGCCTCCACAGAAGAGCCAGACARGCCATGCAAGAGCTATCCAGGATCTTCACTGATACTCCTGTCAGAAAAGCTGAAAAGCAACCTAGAATGTATTTAATTCTACTCTAGCAGACCTGTTGTGCAGCATTAATTCAAAGATTTTGAGGGGTCCGCAGTGCTGCCAAGCCACGCCATTGCTTCTCTAGCACCTCTGTTTTTCCTATGGCAGTAGCCACTGCGATTTAAAAAAAAAAAAACCGTGGTTAATTGACGTTTAATGCTGAAAACCTGAGTCTCTCCCGCTCTCCCTCGCTCGCCTCAGGCACCGCCCGCCTTTCCCGCGCTGTGGGGCGCTGCCGCCGCCATCTCGGGTGAGGGCAGGCGCGGCTTCGCGCCGGCTCAGCCGGGCCGGGAGCGCGGGGCCGCCATCTCGGCTGAGGGCAGAGCCGCGGCCGGCGCGGGGAGACCGAAATTCCACGGAATCTGCGCGGCCATGGGGGTAGGTGGGAGCTTTGGCCGGAGCCCCGCGGGCCGTGGAGGTGAGGGGGAGTCGGGTCACTCGGGGCTGAGGCCGCTCCGCCGCTTGCCTTGCAGAGGATCGGGCTGCAGCTCCGCGCCACGCTGGAGAACATCACCCGCCTGCGGGCCGAGGGCGAGGATTTCCGATGGTACCTGAAGGTGCGGGGCCGCGGGGCCGGGGCCGGGAGCGGCGCATTTCCCTGATTATTGACTGCTCCAAACCTTCCGATTTGTGTTCTCCAGCTGAAATGTGGCAACTGCGGTGAAGTCTCCGAGAAGTGGCAGTACCTGCGATTGATGGTGCGTGTGCCCCTTGTAACCTGCCCCCGAGCAAAAATGAGAACACAGATCTGCCTCTTACACACGTATCCACATCTGGATGTGACAACTGGCCCTTTAGATAAGATCGTTTTTCAACAGCTGTATGCATTTAGAAAACTCTATCATATTCCATATTAATAAATATTTAGAGTCTGTTAATTGAAACATGCCATTTGAATGGTGATTTTTGGTGACACAGTATTTGCATCTGCTTTTAAAATACACTTTTCTGTAAAAAAACTTAATTTAAAAAGAAATTTTGAAGTATCAAAATAAGGTTCTGCATATAGCATATTTCTCTGATGCTAATGGAATCCTTTTGGAGAAGGCTAGGTAATTCAAGATGAGTTAAGCATGCTAAATCAGCATTTGGAAGCTGAAAAAGCAGGATAAAATTTGTCAGGGATACTTGTCTGTTCTTAGCAATAATCATCCCTTTCTGCTGCAACAGAATGGTAAGAATGTATTTGAGGAATTAGTAGAACATGCCTATATGGATAAGACATAAATATCCATTATTCCCTATTTAAAGTCTAGAATACAATTATTCTTTGATAATCATAGCTTGTTGAATTATGAATCTCTGTAGTTAAAAAAAAAAGCTTCCTTGTTTAAGTATTTTTAAAAAGCTAAGACCGTTGTAAAAACTGCTTTACCTTTGCAGAGGTKTCCAGTGGCTCAGCTGAAGTGCAGTTAAAATGTCTCTCTTGTGGATTTTAGGACAGTGCTCCCCTGAAAGGCGGCCGAGGAAGCGCCACGATGGTGCAGAAGTGCAAGCTGTGCTCCAGGGAGAACTCCATCGGTACGTGCTCAGACATTTAACAGGCATCATGCATTTCACAGTTTATCTTTTAGTCCYTGTTTTTGCTTGGCATAGTCAGTAGAGAGCTTTCACCAGAGATTTCTTCCCTTGTGCACTGGTGCTTGAGTTCCCAGCAGGCACATTCTGGACATCACGCTCATGAGAGACAGCCAAGGCCTCCTGGTGAGTCCAGGCTTCTGTATGAACAAAACTCAGCTGTATTGTTATTTTAAAAAAGCATACAAATCTTTCTGGCATTGGTAGGCCAAAATGGTGCAGTGTAAACTTCTCAGGAGGAGGAAGAAAAGTTTAATTGTACCTTTTGAAGACCAGCTGCAGGAAATGCTTGGTGACTTTGTTTCTTTTGCTTTGTGTAAGGAAGTTTATTTGAAAGGAGGTCCTGGTGCTTGGTTGAGTTGAAGACAGTGCCACTCACTTGTATACCTTTCTTTTGTTTTAGATATTTTAAGCCAGACAATCAAGCCTTACAATGTAAGTTTGTTTCCTCTTCTATGTAAAGTCAAAGATAAATCAACTCTATTTTGAGTTTTGCTTCATCATTCTCCCTCAAGAACACGAAAATGTTCTTGTCCACTGACAGAAATTCTYTTGTAGATTCCTGCAGTCTGAAGCATAGAATAATCTGATACATTTCACAAGCCAGCACAGAACTCTGTAACTCAAATTAGAGRTGATTATATAATGCCTCTCTGTTGGTTTCCTTTTGAAAGCTTCCTCGTGGCAGGTTAAGAAGTTCCAGTAATGGCCATCTATGAAATGAGCCATAGGATTTTGCTGTCGCTTGGGGCATCGGAGGTTGCTTSTGCTGCCTTTAAAGCAATCCATTCTTAGACTAATGCTTGTCACTGTCTCTATTAGATGGAAACTAATAGTTTTGTGACTCAATTACAGGCTGAAGACAGCGAGAAATTTAAAACAATTGTAGAGTTTGAATGCCGAGGTCTGGAACCAGTTGACTTTCAACCACAGGTGAGTTCTTATTTGTGATGTGTTTCTCTGTTTTTAAGAGCACTTCTAGACTAGTGATAAAATACACACTATTTGAAATGGTTCTGGAATACCTTAGACCTTCCCAGATTCCCATTCTTCCATGGTTTCTTCTTTTATTTCATTTTACTCCAGAAAAACCTTAAAAACCTGTGTGCAGGTAACATTAACAACTGGTATTCTCTGTGCCAGTAAAATCCAAAACTAAGCATAACTTGGAATCTTAATTAAACTGACTCACAGGTAACTCAGCACTGCTCATCTGAATTCATCTGAGAGCTCTTCATTGCTCAGGTTAATGCAAAAGAGAATCTTTCCCAAAGGGGAACTGTGAGAGTGCAGTATGAGATGGTATCACTTTGCTCTTTGGTACATTAGAGTCCATCAAGCTCAGGTTATGAAGACACTTCAGTTTGTGCTCTCTAAAAAACAAACAGATTTTCTTTGCGCTTGACATCACCAGAGCCACAGGAAATGAACTCCGGCGTTTTTCCATTTGCAACTTGACCAGACAAAGCCTTTAAGATCAGTGGCAGTTACAGGCTGGTGCAAAGCACACCTCAAGGCTCAGAGTTAGAGGATTCTTCAGGGCCAGTCTGCAGTGACTCATCTGCTTGTGCATGGTCATGCTGTATGCCACTTAACTCCCTGCTATATTTAACCTATTATTCCAGTCGGATTAGGTGTAAATAGACTTGACAAATATAAACCTGTCTTATCCTTCCCTCAGACTGTGATGCTGTGCTAAGAAACAGCCCAAAAAAGCCAATCCTACAACGAATTTGATATAAATAGAATCTCCMTTGCAGTGTGCTGGGGGAGTTCTTTATTTATTTATTTAAGTGATGTCCATCTTTTTGATGAATGATTATTCATTTATTCCAGAATGGTTTTTAGTTTATGCCTGCTTGAAAGCTTTGCAACCAGACCTAGGAACTTGCACTTCAAGAAAAATGTATGGGAAGACTACAGAATGTAGGAGATGTTCACAGCTCTSCATCCTAGCTGTCAATTTTATTTTTATGTGCAGAACAAAGACTTCACAACTCTAATRAAGTTTTAATTTAATAGTCTAAATTTGGTGCACTTGATAGGAGAGTATACCTGAATCCCTGAAGAGGCATTTCAGTGCATTTTTTAAATCAGTAAATGAAAATTTTCTGATGCTTAAATGACTTCTGCAGTTCCAAACAATTCTGTCAACTCTTTTATACTTGGCATGATCCATGCTAGCCTGGCTTCTGCACAACCTTAGATCTCACTTTTGATTAGCACTAGACATGGCATATGGCCATAGAATTACTGTATTTTCTTTCTGTTGTTTGGTAGACATAATACAACTACACCTGGAATCAATTTAAAGTGGCTTAATGCTTGCATGTTTTACTGAAATTATAGCAGCTGTGAAAAAAAACTCAAAAAAACTAGCACCACAAAATTTGAGAGTGAAAGAGAATAAAGTATCCTTTGCCTCTCTGATACAAACCCTCTGGTTAGACCTAGTGCAGAAGTTTGTAAYTGCACTCACCTGCTGGTGAATGGCTCCAGGTGGCAAAGGCAGGGCTTCTTTCATTTTTCTGGTGTTCTGTACTCAGCTCTGCAGCTTTGACCCACAATGCTGATCTTCCTCTGTGCCCCAGCAGTTCCCTTGTCATGGGCTTCTGACAGTTGTAAGAAAGGCCWCTGTGCCCTGCAGATCCCTCTCCTGTTGTTACATTTGTTAGATCTGCCACACTCTGTGGTTTATTTAACTCCCAAATGCTTAACCTTCCATTCAAATCCCAAACTATTTGAAAGTCCTGTGGCTTACTTTGCACATTCTTACACAGCTAAATGTCTGACTGGCATGAAATCAGACCGGATTTCTTTATCAAAAATGCAAGTGTAGATCCCTTGCAGAAAACCAAGAAGCAGCTACCTTTGATTTTTACCCACTTGTTAATAAAATTCTGTACTTAGAAACTGCAATGTAAGAAACCTTCCTTCATACTAAAGAAGTGGCTGGGATTTTTAAAAAGTGTACTTTTAAAACTAACAAATCTTACTGTACAGCTTGGTAACCGTACAGTTACCTAAGGTGAGAGCTGTTCCTATAGAAGATAAACCGGAACACTTTCCTACGGCTGTCCTTTCTCCACTCTCTAAAAACAGCAACAGTAACAGCAGTGAAAAACTCTCCCCTGTGAAATGCTTGTTTGGGGATGCTAATCTGTTCACTCAGCCAGCTGATCCTCCTTGCACGTAAAGCTTGCTTGTCACTTGTGTACCTAAATCCAACACAAGCTGCTCCTTCTCTAGACTGTCTTGGATTCTGACAATATTCAACCAAAAGTATTACCTTACTTTCACATTTCCTGTTACTTTCCTTGCAGTGTATTATGAAGCTATTATGCCTGTATGGRTTCTGAACACAAGCTATTAGTAGAAGCTGGATGATGCTACATAAACTTAGGAACTAAGCTTTAAMATTGTCTAGAATAGTTGAAAATACTCCTTTTGGTGGGAAAAATAGAGGAGCTTGGATTGAATTTTCCCAATTCACAACCAGGGTCACAACTGTATCCTTACCTTTCCCAGGAAAGAGCTTGACCATTCTTTCTACCTAATTTAAAAGAAATACATTAAGTTTTGATGCCAAGCTACTTTCTTTAAATATGTGTCAATGATCATACTTACTATTTTCTCAGTAAAACTTAATTTTAAAAACTTACTGCAAATATGTTTGCAGGCAGGGTTTGCTGCTGAAGGCGCAGAGTCTGGCACACCTTTCAATGACATAAACTTGTTAGAAAAGGTATGTTGTCTTAATTTCACTAATAAAACTGATTATCTAGATTGCTTTCTCCAAGTCACTGGTCTAAAATACACACCCTGGACTGGTTTTGCTCTTTCCTGTAGCTACAGGAAGGCCATGGCTGGAGAGAGAAACTGAATCAGCTGTGAACAACCAGCATTACTAACAGTGTCATTTTAGAAGTATGTATTAGATAGCTTAGCAGCTGACAAAGATTTAAGTCACTCAAGAATTCCAGAGAGCAAGAACCTGGAATGCTAAATGGCTGGGGTTATTAAGGTGGTGAGCTGATTTTTCTAGAAAAATCCCTCCCCATTGTCCYGGGCACAGAGATATTAAACAGTAATATAGTCTTTTAAAGCTGAGGATAATGACACCAGCATTGCAAATCTTCCTTGGCTGTGAGCAGGAATCTCAAGGTCAAATCTGTTCCCTGGTATCCTACTTGGCAGGGATCTGCTTGTCTGCTCACCCACCTGACTCGGGTATTGTAAATGATGGATAATCCTTTCACCTGCCATGGCTGCTGTCTTGTCCACAACAGGCTAGGGACTACATAAGGAAATAAACCCCAGCAATATGTATATATATATATATATATATATATATATATAAACACTGAGACTGAAGCTCATTCAATTTCAGGTCAGCGTTCTTGCTACTCTCACCTGTTAAAATTTAACTTTCTACAGAAATCTAAGGCCCAAATTTTGAGTAACATTTAGTTCCAGTTTGAATTCCAATCTGTGTGTATTCTGTCCGCTGTGACTAACACAGTGAAATCTTATCTCCTACAGGATTGGAATGACTATGATGAAAAAACAAAGGAATCTGTTGGAATCTATGAAGTTACCCATAAATTTGTAAAATGCTGAAGTTCATACCCCTAATAAATTATGACATGCTTATTGATGGAGAAGCTGTAAACATCAGAGACAGTTTCCTTGGAGTTACTTTTCTACATGGCTACACTTCAGAAATGGAAACCTAATCAGAATCATTAAGGTTGGGAAAGATSTCCAAGATCAAGTTCAACCTTTGACCAACATCACTAAGTTGTACTTTCTGTCCCCAGCAAACCCTAATAAAATATTTTCCTTGGAGCACTTGGASATGGCCTCAGTACAAACTGAAAATCTTAAATGAACTGAAAATATTGACTGAACTGTGCCATTTCTTTAATGTTGTGATGTTTTGGAATATATATGGTTGTGGTGGACTGTAGCTTAACAACTGTATACAGTACCCACTTAGAAAATTTACAGCCTGCAAGGTTTTCATAGTCTGGCACCAGGAAGTACCCACATTGATTCTCTGACATAAGCAAATAAAGTCTTCCCACTCACCACTCCTATCATGAGGAAATGGCTACAAGCATTAGTAAAGGCACTGTGTTAACAGTTCAAGGCAACAGGTGCACCYTTAGGAGCTTTCTGCCACTTCAGTAAAGACTCAGGTGAATTCACTGAGAAYACTTACTAAGCTTGACTGCTGTTAAAATTTACACAGTTACAGTCCTCTGAAAAGCATGTTATCTTTCCAAGTGTGTCATTAAATAAACCTCATTTCTAGCTGAAGACAGACTTTGTACTCCTTGGTTAGTGCACTCACAATCTTGCCAGCTGTTCGCATGTTTAAAAATAAAACAAACAAAAAAACCCACCAAACAAATGCAAAAAGAAAAAAAAAAAACCAAACCAACCATTCTTCAATGAATTTTATTCAGACTTCTGATTATTGTTTCTTCTTATCTGCCTAAATTATCATCTTTCTTTCTCTTTTTAAATGGGCAAGAACAATTAYGCCAAGTTTTAAAATAAAGCTTTTCAGCTGAAAACTAGAAGCACACATTACAGGAGGAAAGCCTTCAGGATTCCATATAAAATCATGCCTCTCCCCTCCTAGCACTTTTATTTCATACTTCCAAGACAGGGTATTGCTTACMCTTATTGTGATAAATTAAAACGACCCTGGGAGAACCTGGAAGCTGAGAYACCCAAAGGAAGAGCAAAGGGAAGTAGTTCACCCTCTGAACCTGATCTGTYACATCCAACCAATGTGCTCAGACTTTTTTGTTTTGCTGACACATGTTCAGGCYAGTGGGCTGTGCTGAAGGACAAGGRCTGCTTTAATTTTACACAGATCCCAGAAGCAAACACCACTGTGCAGTTCAGCTCGTCAGAAAACTTGTCCTYCCAGAAGAAAAAGAGTGGAAGTGAAGAGTGTTTAAAATGCASGAGTTCAAGTTATACATACCAGATAGAGTGCAGAATGCTTGCAGCAGTATTCTTTCCAACCTTTGTAAGAAACATGAGCTATTGATAAAGGGTCTACCCACACTGTATGATTTAGATATGGCAATAAAAGAACTTTGTGGTTATTAATAGACAGTTTTATTAAAATACAGTCTTTTCCAGTCAATTAAACAACCCAGTTGGTGATTGCAGGTTACTTAAAGCCTCCCACTTGATGTTTTGTGTGTCTGAAAACTGCTACAGTGGAAAGGCTTCAAGCAGTTGAGGCACAATCAGTTCTGATATAAATTCAAGTTTAAAGAGATAAGTGTAACAAGTTAGTAAGCAAGCTTACTGCAAGAGTGCAAATGGAACCACTCTTCCATGTTTAAAATTATTGCATATATTTTTTCCTAAACAGTTCAAGAGTGGTATCACAGTACTGTAGTCTGTTTGAACACTCATGGAACACAGGTGTTCCAAGTTCATTGATTCAGTAAAAATGCTTTTTATTTTARATCATGTGTTTTAAGAACACATGCATCTGTTACTTAATTTTATATAGTGAATGTATTTCATGAAATGCATTCAAGGTCTGTAATTGTTTTCTTTAAAATAGATACCAATTTCCTAGTGAAATTTCCTAGAAGTATTCAAGTTCAATGAAGATACATGAAACCAATTAGGCTGGGCAGTCTCAGCCATGCTGAACACTGATTAGTGTGTCAATTACACATAGTCTGCATTTTCTTCTGCAGCTGTGAAGTGTTCCAATGTCTTTATGTTTAACTACCAATTTTCTTGCCTTTTAAAACATTAAAGATATCCTCTAGTGACTTGTGTGTACACTGAAGGAATTCTTCACCATTCCTAGCTGGGTAAGAGGAAACATTAAAACCCACCCAGTCATCCTGTACCTGATACCCTACTCCAAAGCCGTCAGACACCACGGGGCCAAACCCTCCTAACTGCACAGCTGGGCTCACCAAGGTGCTGGTAGAAAGGATGTTGTGATTAAGGCGAGCGTAGGCTTGGTCTTGATAGAAATCTGGCAGTGCCAGCCCTTTGGACAAGGCTAAATAGCGCAGGCTGAAGAGATGCCGGTCAAACCCCTGACCTGATGAAACAAGAGAACAGGTATGAGAGAGCTGGATGACTTTTGTGGGAAGTAAACTCATCTCAGYCACAGAAGAGGAGGTCTATAGAACTGGGGTTTGTTTTCGTATTGGTAGGAAATACTTTTCAGAACCCAGACACTGCACTTCTCATGCCCATATCCCAAGAAAACAGGGCCTGATGTTTTACTCTAAGCCTCAGCCAGAATTAGGAGTGTACAGAAAAGTGCAGTGTTAACAAACAATTTTAATAATACATCACATTCTTTGATTAACTATTTATCTGAACATATCCAAACTGYTTAAAGAAGAAAAAGGCTTCCCTAAAATTTAGGAATCTAAAGAGGAAAAGCATCTTGCACCAACAAAAGAAGGCAAATTTTAGACTCTACGGGATAATATTCAACAGTCAATTTTACTGAAACAATACAAGTTATGCTTCATGGAAGGGCAGTTCCAAAAAAAACATTTAGAAAAATGCCAGGAGTAGCACAGCCAAAAAATCAGTTTGATTTGGAAGCTGTTAAAGCCTTTATCCCTAGCAGACATAAGACAGTACCTCCTCAGACTTAAAGCCAAAGTTCTTGTTCAACATGCACTAAGTATTTATGAAATCTTCAAACAGTCCAACTGCTCTAAGGACAAAAACTAAATTTTAAAAAAATTCCCAATACATGTAAGGTGCTGTGAAAAGCAAAGAGACACTCCATCAAGAAATGAGCATTAGAGAATGCACTTTAAATTGGAGCCTTCTGCTACTGTTTTTGTCAAGTTTACATTAGGCCTCCATCAACATTGAATTACCTACTTGTAAATGTTTACAGCAACCTTAATAGACATTTTAGTGCACAACCAGGAGTGTTTGATGCGTTCCTACTTACCCATAGCAGCCTCTTTTGTCAAGCGGCCGTGGTACTTGGAGCACTCCACTATCAACTTCTGCAGCTCTTCTGTGCTGTGTTTGGAGAGCTCCTTGACAAAGGCTTCTGAGCATTTCTTTGTGTGGACAGAGGCAGGACGAATGGTTTCTGTACGGCCGTGTTTGAAAGCYGCGGTGCTGCAGGACTCGTAGGTAGCAACAGTCTGATCATACTGGCGAAGGAAAGCCATCTGGATGGCCAGCTGGGCCACAGCATCCGGGCTCACCTTCTTCTGCTTCAGCAGCTCCTTGCCCCCTTCTTGGAACTGGATCTGGTTAAGAGACAGTGATTCTACAGTGGCATCAAACTTCTGTTTGGCTTTGGTAATTCCTGCTTTTAAGGCATCATTCAGCTTAAATTCAAGTTTCTGCACTGCTCTAGAAGAGTCAACKGAAGCAGGCTGGGACTGGGGGCTGATGGCTGGTGTCTTGGTGCTGTCTTTAAAMACCTCATTCTGGAACCTGAGCACAGCCACACCATCTCCCCAGGAATGTTCAAAATTAATTCCTGCAGTGCCATCCTTAGTTATGATAAGATTAAAAGATTTGTCATACCAGCGATTTGCAGCATCTCCATGCAACATAGTATGGGACAAGTGCACAAAGTCTTTAATGGGAAAATCGTCTAAACTTAAACAAAACATGGCAGAGTCTACTTTTTGAAGAGCTTCTTCATTGCCATTCTCCAGTAGAGTCTTCCTCAGCAATGCCCATGTATCTCGGTTTTCACTGGAGAGGTAGCCAAGAGGGAAGGCTGGGGCTGGACTGCTGTCATTAAGGATGTATTTAAAGTGTGCTTGTATTTCCGAAGGTTTCAGCATGTTTCCATCTCTATCAATAACATCGAACACATAAAAATTGCCATTTCTCAACACCAGTAAATGTTTTGCCTTCTCATCTGTATAAAGCTCATCTCTGTCGAGCTTAGGAAGCCGCGTAGAATTGAAAAGCCTGAAGTACTGAGACATATCTAGGGGGTAAGCATTGACCATGTAGGCACCAAACCAAGAAATAGAAGAAGGCACAAATCGGATAATTTTTTTAAAGATCTCAGTGTCACTTTTTTCTGGATTGAGGTGAAAAACCTCTGGTTCAAGGTAACCAGCCCTGAAGGTCTTCATAAAACGTATGGCAGAAACAGTCATGTTTGTAGCTCGTATGAGCTGATCRTTGTATTCCGGTTTCGGATCAGGATTAAAAGACATAAATGCATTAAAATTCAAAACAACAGGGTCACGTGCTTTGAGGTACATGTCAAACCAGGGACCTGAAAATTGAGAGTTGAAAAAGTGGTCAGAACATATAGAAGCTTCCTGAGTTAGACCAGGGGGTTGCATATCATGAATAAACACACATTAAAGTGCCTTTAAACAAGACAAACATATGCAGTAATTCACCAAAGGCTTCTCCCAGTCCCATTATGAAGAAAGATACTGTTGGCCAATCATAAAAATACTGGTTTTGAAATAACCCATGTCAAGGACGTCCATGGCATTAGCAGTTTCTGTTTTCTATATGGCTCAATGATAAACCTTAACTGCCAGGAAATACAGTGCAGGTCCCAGCTCTGTATTTTGGTGCACACCTCACATGTGGAGTGGTTCATGCCTTTACCTACTCTTAAAACTAATAATTTCTGCTGAACTAATTAACACTCTGTCACTGAGTGCATCTCATTGAGGTTGAACCTTCTACCTGGACTGTAAAAAGGGCAACAGGTAGTTCCATAAACTATGTTACAATTTTAATTACAGGTTCTCAGAGGTGAGTAAGTAACACTCCTCTACAGTTTTAAAACCACATTGGTCATCATCACATATCCTTTTCATCCCCAACTTGAAGTACAGGTTGAAGGCAACTCTATAAACCTTCAGAAACCAATTTCAAGTGGAACAGGTCTTTCATGAGGCCTAAAGAAAAACAACTAAACAAAAWGCAATACAGACACCCCACCATTCAGGGACAAAAAACAGCACACTGATTAGCACTGATGAACAACCTAAAGCCACCACTTAAAACCCAACATGTTGTTAAAAGTGAATGGAAAGTAAAATATAATAAACCCAACAGCAGWTTTTGTGAAATAATCTGGTATTCTCTACAGAACAGCCTTACAGTGTCAACAGACAGCAAGGACAGAAGTGCATTCACTGGGCAACATGGAAACTTCTGCTTCCACAGATACTTGACTATTTCCARCTCTGCTGCTATCTAATACTATCATGAGCAGACACTTGTACGTGGAAGCAATAATAAAGAAGGATAATCAAAAACCTATATGCATGCTCTCCCTCTCCTGATTTGTTTCTATTTATTCTCATTTTCCTATTTCTGTCACTCCTTTCCTTTGGCTCCTTARAAGAATATACTTTTGCAGTTTTAGGGGCTTTTAAGTCCAGAGCAGTGACCACTTCTGCCTCCCAAACTTAGTCATATTCTCTGAGYTCTCCCCTCCCTAAGAGTTTARTTTTCTTGTAAAATAATGTGGAATYATTTGSAAATKATGGCCTTAGTTTCCTTAACTGAAATACTAGATAAGCTCTTCTATAACCTAAACCMAACAGACAGCAATATAAATAAGATAAACTCTTTAAASTAATGAAAAAATACCATTGTTCCAATGTCTATCTATCCATAATTCTGGTATATACAAGTTAGATGATGAGTATTCTTCTTTCCACCAGCCTCTGAGTTTGCTCAAATACAGCCACAGAAAGTGTTTACAGCARGTTATTCCAAGTTTCTGGATTACTAAAGCTTCAGTCTATTATAYTTAGGGCATTATGAGCTGTTACGAAGAATGCTGATGTACAGAYTCATCCCAGTAGGCCAACGTACCTGTGATGTAACTTGTATGCTTGTTCTGATTGTCTTGAGCCACCAGTTGCTCATGCAGTTCTCTTCCAATTCCCTTTTCAAAGGCATGAGCAAGTTCTTCAGTTTTCCTACAGCAATCAAGAAAAGCGCCGAAATGCTGTTACAAGTCACATTTTTTATCTGYAATACTTGGCTTTGAAGCAGCACGTGACGCTGCAATGTGTGTTTGTCCATACCTGAACTGATCATCATTTAAAAGYGGTTTCTGGGCATTCAGGTATCTCRTAATTGTATCTTCTAGTTTGGGAACTGGCAGTCTGAAGGAAATGAAACACAGAGAGGTGTACTTGATGAGCAAGGGTATTGACAAAGCCTGAGTTTCTTACACAGACATCTCTCTTTGCCTCCTTTCTTCCATAACCTTTCTTATACTATTATATATATTATACACACATATATATACACACGCTATGCTATACTATATACTATTATATACAGTTATACTGCGTATCTATCTCTCTCTACATATTTATATGGAAAATACTTATGTGTATGTATTACCCAAATGCCTCCTAAGTTTCTTGTGGAATCAGAGAAGCAAGGGATCACATGGACACCAGTCCACACACCATAATGTTCTTGGGAAACAAGGCAGAAAACCAACTTGACTGTCTTGTTACAAAGGTATTGCTGGGATGGGAGGTCATCCCTTAGGGGGAATAGAGTGACAGGAACCGCTGTTAGGAAAGGCAATTCTGTGGCAAGAATAGTTCGGTTGCCAGCCCTGCTTCGGGCCTCCCCTCATTGCTGGGTTCTGGACATCTCCTTCTTACACATCTCGTTCTTACACATCTCCTATTCGGTATCTTTSTCAACTTCCTCTGCACCTGAGCTTTGTTTCCTACAGCACAGTCCTGTAACACTTACGGGTGCTACTTTGCACCTCAAGGGAGTGTTTCAGTAGCAGGCTGAAATATTCTAACAATATTTACACTTTGAAAGCCGAACCCATTCGYGTGCAGAGACAGCAGGAACCTCGCACAGAGCGAGCCGGGCACCCCGGCGCCCAGGTCGAACATTCCCTCCGCCCTCTCCTCACAGCGGACACCCGGGGACACCGTCACCGCCACCCGCCCGCACCCCCCATTGCGGCGGATCCGCCGTACCTGGGCAGGCTCCTCTGGTAGTGCATGGTGGGCACGATGCTGCGGTGCAGGAACTCGGCAGAGCCCGCGCTGCTGTAGCCGCGCCGCCCCGGGGCCGCCCTCAGCAGCTGCCGCGCCGCCATGATGCGCGTCAGSCCCGGCACCGCCCGCCCCTCGCTCCTCCCCTCCCGCCCTGCTCGGGGCCCGCCCGCCGCCTCCCGGGGAACGAGAGGGAAAAGCGAAGCGTTTTGCTATTATTCCATTCACAAACTCAGTTGGATGCGTGGCAAAGTTACCAGGGTGTTGCGGCGGTTCGACATCAGTGCTCTTACAAACACASTGATAAAACTTTCTGATCCATTAATAAAAATTTTCTGCAATCATCTAGTTTTTCTACATCCCTCTTGGTTTTTGTTTTGTTTTTGGTTTATGTTCAACGTACAGACTCCACATATTTTTTCTTTTATTTTTCCCTTTTTTCCCTTTTTTTTTGTGTGTGTGTGTGTATCCATATGTTCTACCCACTACACAGGATTCAGATCCTGCCTCCAAAGAGAACAGTTTAATCCCTGCTGAGCTTTATCACTTATACATAAGCATGTGACAACAAATACTTTCTCACAGTATAAAAATGTAATATTGTAAACACACAAGCCTGTTGTACTGTGTGGAATATTTTYCATAAATACATTGAATAATATTAGAATATCCTAGAAACTATAGAAATCTTTCGTAAGAAAGCATGGCATGCAAATGGTTATGGTGGTGTATTTTTATCAGACACTCACTAGCAGAAAAATCAGCGTTGGGATTGAATGCGGACACAGCAAAGGAAAGGAAAGCAATCCCTGTGGCTTAGTCTGGTAATCCTCTGAAAGTAAATTGGCCCTACTCTAATCAACATAGTGGTTGGAAGAAAAGTGAAATCATTTCACTCCCAAGATAATAAATGCCAAATGACAGAAGGTGTCCTTGCATGCTTCAGTCTGTAGCTATTTCCTGTTTGATGCGTGTCTCTCATGCTGYTCATTCAGCCTTTTTTTGGCAATGAAAACAAAAAACCCAAGCCTGCTTTAATTAATGAAGTCCAGTTTCACCTAGCTTGCCCTGCTGTGATAGTCTTGTTCAAAATGTTACCTGCTCTGCCCTTCAGGAAARCTGCTCTGTTCCTTGTTTGAATGCTGTCTCACAGGGTTCCTTTCTAGGTTTGGGTCTCCAGACTCCAAACTGGGGAGGCTGAAGAAAGCATCGTCTTTCCCCGCGGAGTGTCACTTTGTTTTGAACTAGTCTTGTTTTAGAAATACTACTGCATTCTGTTCTAATTTTCCAGAGCCCCCTAATCTTCTTCCAGGCTCTTAATGATGTAGTTGATAATAGGATTGTTGGTATTAATTTGGAACAATAATGCCAGCTGCTTGCTTGGTGGCTATTGGCAGAGGGGTGACCTTGCAGGTCAGCTAAGCAGAACTGGAAGTGCTTTGATCTGATCTATACAGAGCCAGATCTGTGCACCCGAACGAGAGGAGCGAGCAAATTCTCTCCCCATGGGATGCTGATTCTTCTCCAAACAGCAGGGAGGACAGCATGGCGGGGGCCCTGGATGCAATCCTCGCTCGGATCAAGGATGTTTGTAAAAGGAATGGTTTGCTCATCCTCTCCGTGTTGTCCGTCACCATCGGCTGCCTCCTGGGATTCTTCCTGAGGACGAGGCGACTCTCCCAGCAGGTAAGAGTGGCTTGCAGCRTGTCCCTGCAGAGGAAATGCCAGACTTACATAACAAAAGACATATGTAACTTGGGGAACTTCAGGGTGGGCTTTTGAAAGTAAAAGTCGTGTTTATGTGTTTGTTAAAACGGTTTAATTTCACCTGTTTATTAATCTACCCTGTTCTTTGAGTGTTAGCAAAGGGTCTGATCTCTCAGACACCTCATAAGTGTAGCATAAGCACATTAAAATGTTGAAGGTATGGATAATAATAGTGGATATTTAAGGTAGATGAAATGTAGCATTTAATATAGGCCTTCAGACTGACTGGTAAAGCAATATATTGGATTTTATGCTATTTTGGAAGACGTGTGTGTAAAGAAAACATCGGGAATATTTTTCAGCACCAGATGCACAGAGGTGCAGATGTTTATATTACACTAATGGTCTTTCATATGAATAGATTTGAGATTTGCCATCATTAGCAGAACATGTTGCTGAAGTCACYTGGGGAATTGTCCCCAAGCACACTTCAACTAAGCTCTTTGCAGGTGGTCATTTCTGATGTATCTGTCAGACAGACTAGGCAGCAACRCACATTAACAAATGCATTGTTTTAGCACAAAATAGGAATCTCAATTTTAAAATATGGTATTTAGTAAATGCAACTAAATTAAACCGATTCTGTCTTCTGCTACTGCAARCTACTGTCTGCCTCATCAGACATCATTTGTGTCCAAGCTGTAGCTTCAAACACATCTAGGAAAACACATAAAAGAAAGAATGAAGAGATKATTCAGGGCAACCTATTCAACAGTAGTCCCCAAGAGATGGCATCATTTTTGTCTTCCTTTGTAATGGAATGAACAATGTGATGTGTTTTTTTAATAAGAACACATTATGTAATSTAATTAATTTCAAAATTATCTTTTTAAGCCTGCTATCTTTGCCATTTTATATACCCAAGGTGCAGATTTTAGCAATGTTAYCTGATCCACAGCTCTAGCAGCACTCTCAAAGACAGTCAGTCTTCAGCTCCAAACAATAAGCATCTCTCCATGTATTTCCAGGAAATTAGTTACTTCCAGTTTCCTGGTGAGTTGCTGATGAGGATGCTGAAAATGCTGATTCTCCCTCTGGTTGTCTCAAGGTAAGTGAAGACAACGATTGCTCTGATAACTTATATGGTTTCCTAAATGAGATTTGCCATTACACGGGTTTAGTTGTGAATGAATTAAGTGACAGTGCCAGAAGCATCTCTGCCTGCTGTACATTCATATTTTTAATGGAGCCATGAAGATGTGTTTTAATTGGTAGGATCATTTCTGCCATACCTCATACAGATATTACTTGCTTTCAAATTAATGTGTTGGGGTTTTTAAAAATTTGTTTTATTTCTTCCTTGTAATGGGAAGGTGATTTCTCCTTCAAGCTACCTMAAAGTTAAATATATGGAATAAATAACCCACCTTATCAAAAAGCCTGCCTGAAATCTAAAAAAYKGAAAYATTAYRCTWTACAAATAAGATGAAAAAGCACAGRTAATTTAKARTGTCYTGCAGTATTTTGAGGTGTGCTGTAGTATGATGCATATTGAAAAAAACCTGTGTCTCCAGTAAACTAATCATATGTAGCTGGCTTCAAGTGGAAGTGAAAGTGATTTCTTATTACATTAAAGGTAGAACCTTTAATAGAGGCACAGCATTGGTGGCAGAATTAATGATCTCCATGCTGGCGCTGATGAATGGTGGGTGGCAGCTGCCTTTGCAGTGGGAGGGTGTGACTTAGGGCAGATTTTTCACTCCTCTAAGTGTGACTATTTCCCCACTGACAACAGTCATAAACACACACCAGCTGGATGGCCAAAAACTCTCTCACATGCCCAAGGCTGAGAGGATTTTAAGGAAAGTAACAAAGCTAACTTTACCAGAGCTGAGAAATAATTACTGCACTATTTTGTTCCAGTTTCTGGAACGTAATACATATACCAAGACACCATCATCCATTTTGAGAAAAAAATAAGTTTCTAGTCTTCAGATCACTGAGAGCTGCTGAAAATTACCACAAACCAGCRCTGATTTTATTTTTATATCATCTACCCTGACATCTGCCTCCTCATGGTTTTTCACAGAACAAAGCTGTCATGTTGCTTTGTGCCTGAAACTGGTTTTATGACCACAGACTTACACCTGGTCCTGCCCCGTGCATATAGAGAACATGAAGACAAAACACGTAAAGAGATTCTTTGTGAGAGGTGAAAGGAGAGTTTYACAATGAAAACAAGAGTCTCACATGAGGAAGTGGCATTGTAAGGACTGAAAAGGGTTGGAGCAGATTTACAWGTCCTTCCCCTACATTTGAGATGTYAGGAAGAGCAGCAGCACAGTAGGGAAGAGCTGCTCTGGCACCTGTGATGGCTCTAAGTTACCCGGAGATGTGACACCTCTGAGCTTCACTGTCACAGCAGTTCCACTGTGTCTTCTGAGGAGGAAAGAGAAGGAACTTTGTAAACCTTCAAAGAGATTCAATTCTCCTTGCAAGACAATACGAGTCCATCTCTGTATAACAAACTAACATTGTCTGCTATTACAAACTGTAAGTCAGGTTATACTCCTGATAATTACATTCTCATAAAGCTTGGGCTTTTTTGGCTGCTTGTCTTTTATTGTTTTTTTTTGTTGGTTTTTTGTTGTTGTTTTTTTTTGTTTTTTTTTTTAAATAACAAACACTACATTTCCTACACATGCATTTTATAAAATAAGCAAACCAGTATTCTGTATTTTTACCAATCTGTATGCTCATTTAAATTACATTTCTTTGTGGATTTGGAATATCCTCAGCCTGTCCTGGCAGAGCAATGGCATTTAAATTATCTTTAAATTACTCTCTATTATTGCTTACAAAAGYCAGGAGCACAGCACCATAAAAAGAACTCTAAATATTGCTCTCCTCATTGAAATTAATGCAAGTTTTTCTTTAAACACACAAGTAAAGAAATTACTTGTAAAGAAAAGGATAGGTGAGAAAGGAAGATTAAAASAGGCACCTAGTGCAAAATACCCTGTTTCCAAGTCTAGAGTTTATTTTGAAGGATTGTAGCAAAAMTAAAGTGGCAACTGCATGGGTCAGAGGATTGACAAGACTAGAAAATCTYGCACTGACAGACCACTAGCACAAATCCAGCCTTAAACAGAAATGGATGAAAATTTCTCTCTTGACTTGATTGTTAGAGAGTTAAAACACAAAACTTTGCAGATTGTATTCATGAGAAATGAGGAAATTATGATACAGTCAGGTATTTCTGAATGGTGTTTAGTTTAAGAGTTACCTGGAGGCAGAGGAAATCCATCAAACAACAGGAGACTTTTTTTTTCAATGCACAGTTCCTGTATTTTCTTTGCTCCTGCTCCTGGAACTGCTATCCCCGAGCTCCCGTGCCTGTTTCTGATGTCTCCTGTCACCCATGGTCTTACTTTTTCTTTTCCCACAGACTGAAAAATCTTGGAAAGCAACCATCATCCACTAGCCTGTCAGCTTGAGCCCTGCATGAGCTTAGCTTTTGTTGTGGCATGGACCTTTATTAAGGGTGGGAACTGATATTATTTCAGTTATCTGGTTACATAAACAAGCTTCATAGCATCATAGAATGACTCTAAAATAAGTCTGTATTTATTGCACTCATTCTGTGCCTGAGATTTAGCCCTGCTCATACCTTTTATCATCCGGCATTCCCGGCGCGGCTGGAGGCTCGGGCTGCGATGCCCTGCAATGCACCGTGCGGCCACCGGGGGGCTCCTCTGGGACACCGAGGAACCGCTGCCCGGTCCCGGCACCCGATCCTTCCCTGCATCCCGGAGATTCCCGGCACCCGATCCTTCCCTGCATCCCGG